ATAATATACGGATGTCGTTCCCCTCTGCTAGGGTTTCGCCTCATGGCGAACCCTAGCTTTCGACTACACGGATCTCTCTCGCGTTTCTATGTTCCTGCTTCGTCTTCGTCGATTTCCAGACGACGAGGCACTCTTGAGTTTTCACATTTCTTTCCAGACGACGCCCTCGTCTTTCCACGACGCTTCCTTCGCGGTCCTCGCGTCGTCTCGGTCTGGCGGCAGAGCTGCTGCTATGCTCGCAAAGTCGCAACTACATTCTTGCCTGTCGTTCTCGCCCCTCTTTTGCGATATTTCCTCACAGAGTGACTGACATATTCGAAAGAGGGGCATGAGTGGGTTATCACTCTCACCGGTGATAACCCCGCTCCCGCCTCTCTTTTGAATATGTTTTCACAACGTTACCACGTTACCACGATACTTTTGCTCTTGGGGTTGAAACCAGATTTCTCAAAAAAGCATCCCGTATAAACGACAAACCTGCAATCTTTCTCATAGAGGCCAAGATCTCCACCCTAGCTGCGCCCTGCTGACTGTTCTTAGTAGGTAAATTTCTTTATGGAAACCCCAAACTTGAGCTAATTCGAAAGGATTTTGAGCAAATGAAGCTGAAAGGGGGTTGGAAGATTGGTAAATTGGATGGTCGGCATATTCTCATTCAATTATCAAATGATGAAGACTACGCTCATTTGTTTGCGAGAAGACTCTTTTGAATAGACAACCAAATGATGAAGGTTTTAAAATGGACGATGGATTTTGACCCTCGTACTGAACCTCCAACCATTCCTGTTTGACTGCGCTTCCCAGGTTTGAAGGTCCACCTTTACGATCAAGAGCTCCTCTTTGCTTTAGCGATGGTATACGGTAAACCTCTCAAACCTGATATGCATAAAATGAATCTGACTCGGTCTTCTGAAACCAGAATTTTGATAGAACGGGATATTACTTTACCTTTTCCGGGAGAGATATGGATTGACACACAGTATCAGGGATTTTGGCAGCAAGTAGAACTTGAACAGATACCTCTTTATTGCACCCACTGTCGTATGCTTGGACACTCTCTTTCTCAATGTTATCAGTTGCATCCGAATCTAAAACTTCCAAGTAAAAATGCTACTGGATCTGCCCCACTTCATACCTGCCCCTCTTCCGCTCCCGACTGTATTCCACAAACTATTGAAACACTGGTTGACATGATGCCGCCTCTCCCTCCCACTACCAGAGACAATTTTGTTTATGTTCTTCCGATTGATGTATTGGCAGATGGTTTACTTGGGCATCCTACAATCTCTATCACTATTGAAAACAATACTGCAAGATCCTTACCTCCAAAGGATATTTTTCAGTCCTATAATCAGGATAGTATTGCAGCTCCACATCCTCAGGAAGTCCTCAAGCTCCACATCCTCAGAAAGCATCAGGTGTTGATGAGACATGTTTACCATCTCTTCAGAATGAGAATGCTGTTACTGTTAGTCAGGAGCTAGGGGCTCATCCTCTTGACCTCTTTTACATGCCCGACAATCTGTTGACCACACTAATTAGATGAGCCAATATTCGGATGAGGAATGACAAGTATACACATCTAGGAAGAAAAAAGAAAAATGAAGGCACACCCCAACTTGGGAACTTAATGGATGATACTTTAGTAACTTCGGGTAATGAATTTGTTAGCTGGCCCCGCTCTTAGAACCAGAGGCAGAGCCAAGCCCAAGCTGGCTCGTCCCTAGTAACTTATTTCTGCGAGTTTTGAATTTTAAAGTTTTATCTATGTCTTATCCTTTTTAGGATGCTAGTATCTGTGTATCATATGGGTAGGGCGCCTTTATTGGGTCATCTCATACAACCTTTATGTACGTTTTCAATTTCAATAAAATTAGCTCTAGAGCATTTAAATATATATATATATATATATATATATATATATATGTATATAACGGATGGCGTCCGCGGCGTGCAGCTCTGTTAGGGTTTTGCTCGATGAGCATTTCTGTTTTGACACGACTTCACTCCATCTGGCATTCAGTTTCGTCGTCACTTTTCTTATGTTGTTGCAGTAATCGTGCTCGATGACGAAGGACCTTTTCGATTTCTTCTGTCGCAATTGCGCCCGACGACAGTTCTTTTCTATCGCTGCTGTGCCCGACGACAAAGGCCTCCTTCGTTTTCATCGTCTCCTTCTCTCTCGCTGAAGGCCTCTATCAGTTTCATCGTCTCCTTTCTGTCGCACTGTTACAAGGCGGACTTCTAGGCTTGTTGCTCGCATCGTCTCTTCTGCTTGTCTTTTTCTAGCGGCTCACCTAGCCGCTCTAGAGATGGCCTCGACGATGCGTTCCTATGCCACTGTACTTGCCGGCGACTTTCCTATTCTTACTCGTGCTTTTATTTCAGGTTCTGAGTCTGGTTTTCATGTTGGCATATCCTGCAATGTTCCATAATCTTTCTACGACGTTTTTGAAGGTGGTGGTGATCACAAAAAAAAAAGGGAAGCCTGCTCTGATTCTCACTGAGGTTGAAATCAGTACTCTCGCGTCCTCTTGGCGTTTTGCTGTAGTGGGGAAATTCTTTTATGGTCACCCAAAACTTGAGATTATTCGGAAAGAGTTTGATGCTATGAAACTATTGGACAGTTGGAATATCAATTTACTTGACGGACGACATATCCTTATTCAGTTATCTCACGATATCGATTACACTAATATTTTTTCTCGAAAAGTTATCAAGATCGACAATCGTTTTATGAAAATTCTGAAGTGAACTATCTATTTTGATCCAAAAAATGGAGTCCCCTATCATTCCTGTTTGGATAAAAATGGAGTCCCATATCATTCCTGTTTGGATAAAGTTTCCGAGATTAAAATTACATCTGTTCAACTTGAAAATTCTCTACTCCTTAGCAACTGCTTACGGTAAGCCTCTTAAGGTTGATAGTCCTACGCTTGTTGTCACCAGACCTTCGGTAGCTTGTGTGTTAGTTGAGAGAGATATCACTCAACCAGCTCTGGATGAGGTATGGATTGACATCACTCACAACGGTTATTGGAAAAAAGGTTGAAATAGAACAACACCCTCCTTATTGCTCTCATTGTAGTATGTTTGGCCACACTTCTACTATTTACTATCGCTTGCATCATCATCTAAGGCCAAATATCGCTAAAGATCAGTTATATACCATCCCTGTTGAGAAGGTGCAACCCGATCCTCTTTCAAACACCCCAGTTCCTGATGAAAAACACCATACTACAGGTAAAGATCCAAATGTGTTTATACTATTCACTGTTATTGAAGAAGACCCACTTATATGTCAAGACACGAGAGTGCTCCTTCGATCCGATAAAAGATCAGCTAGTACAACAAATAGTTGCTTTTAATGTTCAACAACCTAAACATGTCCAACACACTTTAGACCAATCTACTGATCAGGTGAGCCCATCTTCGGATGAGGAATGATAGGTCCATACCAGGAGGAAGAAGAAGAGTAGAGGCCGACTCGAGCTCGGGAACTTATTGGATGATACATTGGTTATCCTGACAATGACACTCAACTTACCAATTTATTAGCTAGCCCCTTCCCTAGAACTAGAGGCGGAGGCAAGACAAAATTGGGTCCCTCTCTAGCTACCCGATTCTCCGTATTTTGACACTTTTTTTTGTTTTTTCTTTACGTTTCTCATGTATTTTTCTGTTTTTTTCTCTTTTTGGAACCTTTTGCATGTGGTGGTTATCGTGTGCGCAAAGTGCCATGTTTGGGGCCTCTTACACAATCTATCTATATCGTACTTTTTTTTAATATATTAGCCATTGGGCTTTCTCAATATATATATATAACTGTGAGTGTGTGTGTGTTATTTTCAAGTGTATTTATCAGACATGCATTGTGACACTATGCCTGTCTATTAATCGTTGTAAATCATCCTGTAGAAAATCTATGTCTTGTTGTAATGATTTAATAATTTTCCTAAAGAAAGCTAATGTACATGATTTCATGAAGTAAAACTGATGCATATTTTATCCATGATAGTATGGCAAATCAATTGTAAAAGAAAGCCAATCAACGGAAATTTTGAGTAAAGCTAATTTAAGACAAGACATGCAAATTAAATGCATAAAATTGTGAAGCAGAAAATAGTACTTATATTTAATAATATAATTATCTTCTCAAAATCTTGAATTCTGATTTAAGCTTCTAAACTCAAATACAATACGTTCACCGCCAATTCCTGAAAAAAAAATTAATTATTTTAATCAACTGTTGAATACCGGCATTATAAATGGGTTAAGTTAGCTTTAAATATTTAAATATTTTTATTTCTCCTAATAATTATGTATTCTTTACTTCATTTCTATTAACAAATAGTCATTTATCATCTTTTTTACTCCTATGATGCTAAAATATATTTCTTGGTTAACATGAATATACCAGTTGACGATCAACTTTAATAGCATATATTAGGAATGCAGTGTACCTAGAGATATTTTGCATTTATGCGTGATTATGTATCTCTATAAAATATTATGAATTGGAAAATAATCATTTGATTATTTACATAAATGAAATTTTATTAGCAGAAACAATTGTGCGCAATATGAAAAAAATTTAAATGAAAGCATATAACAAATAAATTTGCTAATAGCAATAATAAATATTATCCTATTAATAATTTATTTTTTATTTTACAATTGACTATCCATATATCCTTTGTCACTATGCTCACCTCAAGTTCACTTAAAAAAAAGTCTAGCAACTAAAAATTCATTTCAATTTTTTGAAATTCTTAAATTTAATTTAATTTAAAACATTAATAATCTCAATTGATATTCTTTCATCAACATGAATTCTCTGGCATGATTTGTGAGAGTTAGAATAAAATGGGGAACATTCTATCCAAAAGCTTGAAATATAATTTAAAGCAGTTGTGATAGCTATTACAAATTTTTTTTTTTTTGAAAAAACAGCTATGAAGTTGCTGTTTAAAAAACTAGGATAGCTATTACAACTTTTTTTTTTTTTTAAGAAATTAGACTACAACTTTCTAACATCCACTGTAAGTAACCATGTATGATGGTTAAGCACAGCTTTCAGCTGCAGCTTTTTGAGGACGCAGTCAAAACAAAGTTTCTTCGAACAAGAAAAACTGCGGTTGTGTGCCGCACCACAACCACACCACTGTCTCAAACGTCTTTTCTATATTCCTTCCTTAAAACTAATTAACTCTCTGCTAGACCAGCTGTAGTTCACGATACAATAGATATTAAATAAAGGGTTTTTAGATAAAATGCAATTTAATTTGAATATATATATATATATATATATATATATATATATATAACATTATCTTAACTCCTCCTCCAAAATCCACTTTTCCTTGTTTAATCTTCTATTTCTCCTTATAATGGTCTACAACCCAATAGCTGCTCTCAGATATTGGTTCGGCCAGTTGAATTCACGGGTAAATGAAGAGAAAAAAGCTGAATTAATTATGATTTTAATAAATATGCTATATAAGTATTTGAATATAAGATATATATACTTGCCTCCTAAGTCTCCCTGCCTTAAAGCCTCGTTTTCCCCCTTCCCAGATGCTTAATTGGGAGCCGTTTGTCACGGACTAACTTTCGTCAAGTCACCCGTGCCTCGGTTAGCCCATGGCACAGAATTGAAGAGAAAACAAGAGGAAATAAAGTGCTGGGTTATATAAGTGTGTATATATCATATATAATTTACTTAACTGTGTTAATTCCAACCCTAAAAGCATCGAACTAAAGTGGATCAGCTCCAGCACATAGATTTTTCTATGAATAATAAGTTTTAATAAATGAATAGTATGACTGAAGCGGATTTAATTAATTTATAAATCCAATTATGCATCTATATATATATATATATATATATATTTGCTCTCAGGGAAAAAATGCAAATGACTTATGTGAAGATTTATTCCCATTGTAGCTCTGACCTTTCTTGTATTTATAGTTTCCAAAGCAATGAAAACAAACGAGGATTACTGCCTTCAGCAAATCCTAATGCGCTCCAGATGCCACAAAGGTCGTCTGTTATATTACTTCGCCAAACAGCAAAGGTAAGCACAGGTTTGAGTGATATCTTTTTTGTATTTTTTTCTCTTTAGTAATGAGGCTCAAAGGCTCAGTGATGTATCTCATATGCCCATGCATCTTTGGAATCATTTTGTGATCGAACTTTGCAAGAAATCAGTTTGATGTATTTCAATTGTCTTTTAATGCTCTATTCACCTGTGGATTTATTGGTTTGAACTTGCAGTGAAAGCATGAAAGATGCTAGTGTTTCTTCTTGGTGTGGCTGGCATACTGACCATGGATCTCTCACAGGTTGCTCAGTAGTTTATATTGATGTCAAATAAGGCTCTGGTTTATGTGAAATGTTTATAATACGATTACATATCTGCTTTACTTTAGCATTATGATAGACTTGTTTTGCTAACGTGCACTTATAGTGGGACATCTAATCTTATTAAGTATATTATTGATCTAAATAATACAGCCTTACTACTCCAGGAATGTTTAATACTTTTTTGACTCTTAAGTACAATTTGGATAACTAATGCAATTTATCCTATATTGACACATTTCATCAAAAAATCTCAACTCTTCTAATTCAACAAGCACTCTTCATGGAGATTTACAAGTTTTTATGGCTGGGAACGACAAACAAGTAGATGATCTAAACAATTATAGGTAGTCTTGTTTTTTGGTAGCTATTTCATTTTTGTGATTTTTATTTCAGGTAATCTGAAACATGCTTATTATGATGTGCATATAAGGGAGGGATGTGTTCTATTCATTTATGATGTTCCTAGTCTGGCTAACATTCATCTTGTTCAATTTAAATCCACACAATCTGTTGACAACTCTAAATGGATTGATCAGCTTTGGAGTTATGTGTTTTGGGTTTTCTTATTGTATGTGTTTTTGATTCTTACTAACGAAAACTAGTTCTGGGATGATTTCTATCTCTCTTACACTTTATTTCTTGGAGCTATTTGGCAGTGCTATAGTTTGTGGCCTTCGTTGCAATGCTGTTTACTATTGTGGCGGACATATTCATATACTGTTTTAGAAAATCTAGATGACTCTATAGCTGGCGGATACAATTATGTGCCTATTTGGTGATATTCTAATGGCTGTCGTTTTGGAATCGTTGCACTTATATTTTGCATGATTTGTAACATGATTTGAGTTTTTTATTTGAATTGAACCAATGACAAAGTAATTGACCTAGGGACTTTGATGATTATAAATAGCATAAGATGAGGCATGTGTAGAGAAACATTTCACTAGGTAAAATTTCAAGTTTTCTGTCAATCATGCATGTTGTGATTGGATGCTGAATTCCTTCAACTACATTACAAGTGCGATGCTCAAATTCTGAATGATGTTATATACTTGTATTAGGGTGAGACCTAATTTTTTAATTTGGTGAATTTTTTCCCTTTTTTCAGGTAGTATGTTATTTTCTTTGAGCTTTTCTTATTTTAATCAAATATGATATAAATTCCTTATTGTGATCTCAATACTAGTTCAGTTTCGAACTTTTTGTGGTTTAAAATATCCATTGAGTTTTTTTGATTTGGTTGATCAATAAATAGTCTTATAGTGACAATTTCTAATATTTTTGAGTTTACGTGAAAAGAAAGTGGATTCTAATTTGTAGCTTTGAAGCTTCGAATATAAAATTTGTTCTGTGTGATCAAATTATTCATAGTATCATCTAGTTACATTAGGAGTCTAGACCCTAAGATACCTTACTTCAAATCGGTGTCATAATTTATGGTGGCATTATCATGTCAATAAAAGTAGTAAATTATAATTGACTAGATAAAAGAAATAAATAATGCAGTTTTAATGAATTCATTTTAGCTATGATTCTGGAATACTAAAATATGTTTACAATAAGGTTCAAAACTATATTCTTGCATTTGATCAAAAGTATGATTTTAGAGAATTTTACATTTGGATAATAATTTGGAGAATTTTTTTGCATAAATATAATAATTTTTTATCATTAGAAAGTTGAATGTGTTGAATCAAAATTAGTTGACATTTTCAAACATTTTGATGAAGATTTGCTACTTAATATATATTGTAATATTTGTCATTTCAAGTATTAAAGATCAACTGTAAGATAAATTTGAATGTTGTAAACAAAAATGATTATGGTGTGTTTGTATATTTTGAAAAGTTTACCAGTCTTATATCTAAGTGTTATTACCTTTAGACAATTATGCTATAATGTATATTTCACTAATTATTTGAAGGTGGAAATTTGAGATGAATTAACTTATAATTCAACAAAAACATTGCATGAGGTTTTCTACACAGTTGTGGGACATTGAGCAATATTAATGTTACTATGTATCTAATTTTTTTCTAAAATCATCTAGATCCTAAGGAAAGTACCTAGAATAATTTTAGAGTAATTGTTTTGTCTGCATCTGGGATCTAAATTTTTTTAAAATCCTACTCCAAAATTTTTTGAAAACCATGCTGGGAGTTTTTTTGGACTAGGGGATCCATAATTAAAATTTCAAATCATTTAGAGTTTGGATCACCCCTCATGAACATTTTTGGCTCTCTTTTTAGTTCTTATATTAGGATTATTGCACTTGCGACTGTTTCCACTAAAGAAAATTAATATCATCTCCATTGAAGCATGTTAAACTCATGCCAGCATAAGAATCATTTGTGAATGAAATTGAACGTATTCAAACATTATTATTCATTTTTGACATAGGAAATGATTTGTAGTCACAATATGACTTTATATATCTATTGTTTAATCTAAATCTACGCCTATATTAATTTTTGTTCATGAACTTAAACCTATACTGAAACAAAAATCAAAATTGAAGTTTGAAAGTAGTATTAAGCATGAGATCATATTTGAACCTTTACTTCTAATAGAGTTTGAATCTATAATTGTTCATGAAATTAAACCAATCATGTCTACTATGGTTGATGGCACAATTGCATAATTTGAAAATACTTCTCTTGTAAAATGTTTTTTGATATTATTCTAATGATTAGACTTATCGATTTTGATTTTATTTTATAATTTTTCGATATGTTATTTCATAAAAAGAATCTTATGGATGGAGTTAAATTGCATTACTATTTCAAGGAATTTCTTAGTTATGAATGCATTAAAACAAACATAAAATTTAAAACTTTATCTATCTAATTAATCCTAATGGTGCACAAATTTAAACCTTTCAAATTTGTTTTATCTATAGATATTGTTCATCCATATAAACACTATATTTTAATTATAGCATCATCTAGGAATTAGTTGCTGGTCTTTAATAGTATCCCTTGGGTGCATATTTGCCTTTTAAGATTTTCATTATTTGCTTGATGTCATATTAATCATTTTTCTTTTGTGCATGGATTTTTAAGTCTGCATGAGGATATTTTGAAGAAATTAATGTTAATTATGGAAAGTTAAGTGCTAATATGAATAAGAGATAAATTAAATTTAAAACGGGTGATAATATATTTGGACTATGGAGCCCAATAAAGTTTCTTATAGGAGACTTTAAAAATTCAAATGCGAGAAAGGCAGAGCCACTTAAAATTTTCAATTCATTTTGATGCAATGCTAAAAATTAGAAATCCCTGGAAGTTCTAGCTTTACTCTATTCTTCAGTGTGTATGATTTTATTTTATTTTATGAGTTTGCAGCCAATTCCTTCTATTCTTCTTTGTTTCATTCTCCTTTTAAATTTGCATTTAAGACTATGCTACATTTCATCATTTCTTTTTCTTAAAAACTTATATTAGATGATAAGTGTAAGATATGATATTTTCCTTTTTTTCTTCTATTCCCCTTCCTTAAAAGCTTATATTAGACCTCTTCTTCACTGTTAGGACTAGATCTCACTTATGAATTTCTTCCCCATCAAGCTCCAAAGACAAATTTCAAGGTTAGGGTTCATCCCTTCTACCTTGACAATTGATGGTGGTATGCTGTTGAACTAAATTCAACATCTGAATAACTCAATGTAATCTTCCCAGCATAGCATAGAAGGGCCCCATGTCTTACGTGATGGATCTCCCTTAGTAGGGGCAACTCAAGAATGAGTCTATTGATTTGAATGGTATGAATTTCTCTCATATAGGGTTGCCATGTCTTGGGCGTTAGCTCCTAAAACTCAAAACTGTCTTGGACACTCACCGTAAAGTCGGTTGGAGTTTCTCCCACGGACTTAGTTGGGATTATGTGCATTTTTTCCTCCTCAACTGAAAGTTGGTCCTCATTTGTGTCCGCACCATCTTTACTGTCTACTGTTATTACTCATTTTTTCAAGAATACCCTACCCAAAGAAATATATCACTTCTTTTTTTCACCACTCGACCCAATGCTTAGAATTAACTAAAGCGAGAACTATGATCGGATGGTATTAAACAACCACCCACAAAATTATAGAATTTTCCAATTTATAAAGCCACTAACATCTAAAAGTGCAATGAATTTAAACATTCGGAGATAACAACATAAGCTGAAAATCAAATCTCAAATCAATACCAATAATATATATCAATATCTCAAAGAAAATAGTGCAAAATGAAACTATAAATATATCAGAACAATCTACATATCCCCTATTGATCTCCTTTTGTAAACTAAGTTTCTTTTGTCGAATATTTTGAGCTACTACTACTTCTATTTTCCTAAAAAAGATAATTAAATTCAACTATAAGTTTGTATTGGTGAATAATAACAATCTAATATGCATTAAATTATGATGTTTATGATATGCTTGAATGACAAAAAAAATGCAGTTTATTACTTCATAAAACTTTGTACTTTCATTTTAATTTTATTCATTCTCGTTTCACTTTATGTATTTATCATTTTAATTTTTTTAATAGTCATAATAGGATTATCGTCTCATCTGAAGATATCCTAAAAAATGTGCTCGGTTGTACCATCAAAATGTACCCGTATGTACTCTTAATTTGCACTTGAATATATACTTTTATGATTTTTTTAATGTGCATGGGTGCATTGCATCCTCTGCCAATACCATCTAGGGATAATTCTGTATGACTTAACATTTATATTTCATTTCATATCAATTTAAGAGCCTTAAAATGTACATTCATGTGTTAGCTATTTTTCTTTCATTTGTGATGTCTTTTCAGACATAAAAAATGTCAAACATGAATAAAATACTTGTTTTAAACCATTCAATAAAATAATTATTCATTTAATAAAACATAAATTTAATGCATAAAAGAAAATAATCACCCACCTTTGTTTACAAAAGATCTCTGAAATACATTATAAATTCTCTTCACTTTCTTTAACT